TCTTTGTGGGGATTAATCATGACACAAAAACAGGACATGAATAAAGGCTTATTTTAATGGGAAATAATATGGGAATAATCATTTTCATTATTTCTAATGAAAAACATAAAGAAGACCTAAAGTTAGATATGGTGATAAGTCTTTGTACAAAAACAAAGTCGCCCAGGAAAAGCGTCCAAACATGAGAGAAGTCGTGTGAAACAGTCCCAACATCAGCCTGAAGTTTCTGTGTGTAACCGTCTGCTGAATATAAGGACCAGGTTTATGGGTTAGTCCTGACATGAGACTAAAGCTGGTATTTTATGAGAAGAGAGTCCTCACTTCACAAGAAACTGTATGAGGTAAAGTACACAGAGCTGTATGTCATAAAAACGATCAAGCTTGAACTGAGTCACAGTCGATGTAGGGTCACAGGGTCAAATGTCCTCAGGAAGTTTAAACCTGACACAGATCACACACACAAACACACACAGGAAGTGGAGTTGAAGACGTACGCTGTGTAACCCTGACCTTGTTCTGTCTGTAACCATACCTGGTTGCTGCTTTGTGAACACATGTATGTCCCCATAACAAGGACACGCTGTGTTGGTAAAACTGCAATAAGGGTGCAGAGAAGCTGGACTCGGGGCCGCATGGAGACGTGGCTCTGCTGGCATCAGCGTGAACGTTACTGTGACTTACATCCAGCTGTTTGGGGCTCACCTGGGAACCACCTGCTCTAACGTTTAATGACGATGTTCTGCGTTAATAACAGCTGCTGTTCGTATTTCTATTAAATGTTTGTTTTTAAACCGTCTCACAGTTTGAAACGCTGCTGAGTGACGTCAGCCTCCGCCTTTATCCTGTGAGCAGATCGCACTGAGCTGTCACCGCCATCATTTCTATTTTTGCCTGCATTTTTTCCGCTCCTCCCACCCTGCTGTTTCCCGGCCAATCACACGTCGACATGAGCCTAATCACGTGTCAGCGCTTCAGCGGACACGTGGCGTTGAGCTCTTTGAATAGGACGTTTCCCGTCTGCTTGCTGTGAGCGGGGGATTAGCTCAAATGGTAGAGCGCTCGCTTAGCATGCGAGAGGTAGCGGGATCGATGCCCGCATCCTCCACGTTTTCTTACTCCGTGTTTTAGTCCCTGTGGATCTGTGCCGCCCTTTGGACTCCGACCCGCGCGTGGATTTTGGTTTGTCTGTGTTTAAGCTCAGGTACATTTTACATTAAAAACACTCTGGTGGGGTACATAAGAAATGAGGTAGTTAACTCACTGCGTGGATAATTGTAACTGTGGGCTCACAGTCTGAAGCTGTGTTGCTGTGACTCTGCACTCTGTAAATAATATTATAATAATTATCTAAATAATTTGAATTTATCTTTCAAATTATTTAGATTTGTAGTATTAAATATTACTGACACACGGGTAATTAAATATAACAAGTTGTAAAATAAAATAAAGCTAAATTTAAAAAATATGGA